TGTCACCTTTCAAGTGTCTCAATTTCACCGTACTTTTTTGGAGCACAGTTTGACTCCCGCGGGCTTACATTCATTGGGATTATCCTTTAGTAGGAGAAGCGACCTCAGAGCCAGTATGAAACTGAAAGGTTATGTCACAGGTGCTAGGCATATACCGGACTCGACGGTTGTGCCAACGCGACAGCAACATTGTCTGTGCGAGTACAAAGTGCAGTCGCTGAGATTCTGGCGTTATGCCAGTTGTGCTTAATCGAGTTACGAGTGGGGTATGTCGTTACTCATCCATATGGTTTGCATTGGATGCTCCTTCCCACTCGTGACCCTAGCATCGCTCAACAATCGCAGCGTTTGTACTTGCAGTCGCAGCGGGCGGTCGCTGTACAACCGAGACTGGCATCCATCTTAACGAACGGGTGGAGGCATAGTTTGAACTGTGGAAATGGTTGCACAAATGTCGTGCTCGTCCCCCACCCCCTCCCCGCGTCCGCCTTGTGTGCAAACTCTTGTTCATTTTCTGATACAACAATCATTCGGGTGTGATTTGGAACAAGTCCAGAGTTTAGGTTTAATATGTAAGCCCGTAGGGGATCAACTAAGTTTTCGAACCGCATGACTCGTTGTTATAGCGTTGTTTGCTTGCAGTCTCACCATTTACTGTTCATCTTTAGTCATTTGTTGGCAGCACAGTAGTACCTTAAGAGCTCAATATAAGGAACTTGGATATGTACTAACTTAAGCGAGGTAAAGATGTGGTTTTTTTGGATCTTTTGTAGTTCCTTCGTACAATGCGTTCATTCGAAAGCACGTGCTGGTGTTATTGGAATCATCATATTTTATCGAATAAATTATTAATTCATTAACACGTTATCACAACAGTAAGTCGCACTAAAATTCAGCACGAAGAGAGAGTGAGATGTATCACAGAGATCAGTCGTCGTGAAGGCGGTTTCGGATGTTACGGCTTTTCAACGTCTTTGTTTAGAGTCGGTACATACTGAGATGTCTCAAATGATGATTCCGTTTCTTCTTCAGCTAATATTTGTATTAATTAAAGACATACGGCATTAAATATGCTTCAGTCCTACCTGATGGAGCGGTGAAGTACTTCGAATTTTTCGACGATGAGGGGCGAGTGTCCATTTCCACATCCGTATCTCTTAAATCAGTTCAGTTAAAGACTACCTGTGGTGATGTGAAGCCATTCTCGTTCTGCTACAATTTTTAACAAAACTTCTAATTTACGCGATGCCTTATTCCATTGCCTCAGTGTCGCTTTCCAACGAAATATTGGGTCGCTTTTGCAAGCAGGCATGATTACAAGTATTCGGATACCCTCTCCCCCAAAATTTTCTTGTAACAACTCGGGAATTCTTTAAGAATTTGGAAATGTGTGCGTGCTAGCTTAGTCACGCGTCATAAGTGAAAAATCACAAAGCAAGAATCCTAAATACTCTACATGTTGATACTCCTTGTGGGGATCAAAGCGAGCGTAAGGAGGGGGTGTCTGAAGGAAGTAGGGTGTTAGCACGAACCAAGGCCCGAGAGTGGTGAAGGCTGTTCAGCAAAATAATTTTGAGGGAAGCTTTGTGTGGATTTGAAGTGATTTGATAATGAAGAATGGAAGTCAACATCATCAAAAGGGGTTTAATCGCTGCTAGCAAATCTCATAGGGATTCGTAGAGCAGTTAGTTGTAAACGAATATTCAGTACCACATACCTCTTAGATGTGAGCGGGGATTTCACTGCGAGACCGCTACGTGAAGACTCCGAAAGCTGGGTCGAACCTGAAAGTCAGAAAGGGAATGAACTACAATTGGTGGCAATTATGGTTATATATTATGGTCTAATGTAATGTATACGCTGATGGAATGGGAATAGTACTAGTTTTAATAACCTTGCTTCACGCGCCTATTCCACCCCAACCTTAGGCAGCTTGCCTTCATGCCTGTCTACCACCCTGCCGACTTACTTCCATATGCGTTAAGCAGTAATAAATCTGAATGTTCAAACTCTGGGAGACTCCTGAGTTTATGCAGTAACAAAAAACAAGCGTTTAAAAAATCCCTCAAACAGTTTTATTTCGCTCTTCGCAACATTTCGGCGCTTAGCACTTTTTCCTGCCCTGAAGCAACTTTCGGTTACTTAGTTGGTTCATATTTTCGATAGATACAAGAAACTGACGTGCTCCTTCTTACCTGATATGGTACATAGTTACCAGTTCCCAAGTCCGTTTTTAGCATTAATTAGTTATCTACCGTAATCGCGCTCTTGACATTAGCTGTACTGCCGTATCACCAACATCACCATCTCTTTACAGTAGCCCTCTAGCCTAGCCTGACAAACTGAAGAATGTCACGTAAATCCTCCTTGTTGTTGATTTTCGGTGATCTCCTTCTCATGTCAACACACAATATTTCCCTTCAAAGCGGCGTTT